GGCCCATCCCTGGGAAGTCTTCCTGTTCCTTCTGAAGCTCTGTGCCCCTCAAACAACGGTTACCCTTCTCCTCCCAGGCCCAGCAGCCACCCTGTTACTTTCTGTCTGTGAAGTTGACTGCTCAAGGTAACTTGTATAAGTTTGATCATGCAATATTTTTGTCCTTTTATGTCTGGCTTACTTCCCTTAGTATAATGTCTTCAAGTTTCATCCATGTTGTAACCTGTGTCAGAATTTCTTTCCTTTTTAAGGCGCAATCATTTTTGTCATGTGGATTTGCAATCATGAGACCTGGGCCCAAATTCCAGCTCTTCTACTTATGAGCTCACGTGACCTTGAGTGTGCCCTCTGCTTCTCACTTCCGCATCCTTAAATAGTGAAAATAGTACCTACCCCACAGACGTGTTGGGTGGAGAATTTAATTTAATGGATGTGAAACCTCTTTAGAAAGATTATGATGCTACGGCTATTTTTGGCTGTAAGAGGCCACTACGTTGGCTGCCAGGGTGATTTTTTTTCCTATTGGTCACCCTAGTGACATCTTTCCAAGCAGTTCCTTGGCACAACTGCACAGCTGATCCAGTTCACTTATCATGGCAGTCAAATAAATGGACTTGGTTGTTCTCCTGGCAGCTTCTTAACGTGTCACATCGGCACAGCTGAAGATGAGGAGCCTCCGCCTCTGACCCAGACACTTTGGACCTGGGTGCTTCCATTGTCCGCCAGGGAGAGTGCAGCCCTGACGGCCAGAGAAAACCCTCCCCCACTTGGCTTTTTGTTGCATCCTACAGCAACATGAGGCTCCTTGTTTCTGGGCCTGACTCCATGAGGTCATTCCACCCTGGAGAGGGTGGGAGGATGGATTAAAGGGAAGAGAGATGAGGCAACACAGCCTAGGAGTCTGGGGGCTGAGGGCCAGGCTGGATCTCCAGTGGGCCAGTTTTGGGACCATGGGAATGCACTTCTCCTTTCTGGGACGCTTACCCTCCTCTGTGTGATAAAGGATGGGACGTGATGACCTCCAAAGTCATTTCCAGCTCTGGCCTTCCGTGATTGTGAATGACACGTGGGTTACCATTCCACTTTCTGTCCATGGCTCTAGATCTTTCCTTCACCCCCATTCTTCATGTACTTGACTTGTCCCCAAGAGTTACTCACTTCAGGTTTAGACTTGATCTTTCCTTCTGTCTCTGAGCCCATCTCTTCCCTCCTCCCTCTTCATTTTGATTCCTCTCCAGTCCAATTTTCTGCTGTCTAGAAGATCTGGCTTTAGGAACATCTGCTTTCCTAATGCATGCTGAAAGATTAATGGCAGATTATGGATTCAGTTCTCATTTCACTTGAGGAATAATACTTCAACCTCAAAGGAAGGGCCCTCTCACAATAGAGTCCAAACGCAGAGTGGAGAGATAGGCTCAAAAAGTAAACAGGGGGCCAGATTATGTAGGCTTCCAAAGAGAAGAGAAGGTTGGACTTCATCCAGTGGCAGCGGGGAGCCACTGAGGGCTTTTCAGCTGTAGCTGAGCTATGTCTTCAAGGGATCATTCAGGCAGCTTTTTGAAGACTGGACTGAAGTGGGAAGAAAGCAGAGCCAGACAGAAGAGTGAATTCTGGATCCTGGTGAGAAAGACAAAGTGTGGTAGTAGACTTGAGAGGTTTACCTGGGCCCCAGCAAATCTGGGGATGAGAGAAAGTGAGTTTAGAATGACATTATACACTAGCTCGCAAGTCTGATACCCCATTTTGTCTGTGACTAATATAGAAAAAAATGCTTCGCCATTCTCTCCCAGCTCACTGGGCTGCTGCCATGCCCAGATCTGCTCCCACCTTACGGCTTCTGCACGTGTGGGTCTCTGTCCCCAATTTTAGCCAACTGTCTTCTCTTTTGAGGGGCTTCTCTGATGGCCAGTCTCAGGTAGTCTCTCTGCCCTGCTCACCTCCCACCTCAGTCCTTATTCTCCTCACTTTTTGTTCTCAGCTAAGACGAGCTCCTTCATCTATTTGCTTAGTTCCACTAGAATTTAAGTTCCAGGGCTCTCATATGTCTCCTTCATGAGTGTGTCCCTGGTACCTAGAAGAGGACCAAGCACCTGCTTGGCTCATAGCAGGTGCTTAGTAACTGTAAGTTTAATGAACAGGAGGGAAGGAAAGAAGGAAGACGGCTGGAATCAGATGTGGCAAATCATTTCCGAAGATGGCTGCAACACTGCCCGTCTTGCCTGCTATTTGCCATGCAAGTTGCTGCTCCTGTCATCAGCTGGAGCCTGTTTGCTCCTTTTGGATCTGGGCTGGCCCCATGACTTCCTGAGACCTGTTGAATGCAGCTGCCGTGATGCCATGGCTTCAGAGTCCAGGCTTTCGGAGGTCATGCAGCTCCCACGGTCACACTCTTGCCATGCTGCTTCTCATGTCCTGAGACACGTCAGAAAGGCCAAAGCCCCGCGGGGAAGCAGAGCCCTCCAGTCAACAGCGCCTGCCGAGCCCAGCCCGCTGCAGGTCTGCCAGCTGAGCGCGGCCACATCAGTAATCCCAGGCAAGAAGGGTTGTGACAGGCCAGACAGACAGGCCAGACAGGCCCCAGAGTTGTGAGAAACAGTGCATTGTTTTAACCACTAACTTTCATTCTCCACTTTGGGCTTTGAGTTTAAGGAACTGCTGGGCATCCAGATGGAGGTATACTGCAGGAATTGAGTATAAGGAATTCTAATATACAGTTGTGTATCATTATTTATTTGTATATGAATGCTTATGTATATATTTATGTGTGTATCTGTGTATATTGGAGAAGGAAATGGCAACCCAGTCCAGTGTTCTTGCCTGGAGAATCCCATGGACAGGGGAGCCTGGTGGGCTGCAGTCCACGGGGTGGCACAGAGTCGGACACGACTGAGCGACTAAGCACAGCACACCTGTGTCTACACATGTGTATGTGCATATAAATACATATATGTTACACAGGTACGCATTTCTGGCAGAAACAGCTTTGATGACCTTTGAATTATGTGTATGAGACTTTTATCTGATAAACAAAGAACTTTATTGTTTCTTGACTAGATTGTGAAGAAAATTGTAACAATGGTGTATTTACACTTATTCTGACGTTTTTTCAAATGGATGAATGAGGTCAGTTACGGACAGATAAAGGAAGTGTTCCCATCAGGGTCATCTGAGAAGCATTCAGGACACTGCCTGCCCAAAGTTTCTGCCCACTGCTTTGGCCAAGAGTTAGACAGTGGATGCAGAAGCATCAGTTCTAGCCCACCTTAGTACAGACAAATATGCATCTGATGCTGTCCATCTTACAGAGCAATTTTCCCATCATCATTTCATTGAATCCTCATAGCAGTTCTATGACATAGATTCTGCTTTTTTTTTTTTTTAATGGGAAACAGGATCTCACTGAAAGTTACACAGTGCGTAGGTAGCAGATTGAGGACAGACTCAGTGGACCCTCTAAACTCTGGGGTCAGCCTGCTTTCAGCACCATCACACTTACTCCAATAGAACAGACTATGAGTTTCTTGGAAACTACTTACATAATAAAGAGAATGACCTTGGTCTTAAAAGCCATTCATTGTCTGTCACAGGAGAGAGGCAGATACCATCTTCAGGCAAGGCCCTCACCCATCTTGTAATTTAAATAAAACTTTCATGCTAATTTCCTCTCCCTCCTAGAGTTAGTCCTGGCTTCTAAGAAGGAAAGGAAGTGCTTTCACACTTTATAGACAACCTTGGCTTCAATCACATCATTTGCCCCATTTTTTTTTTCTCCTATGAAATATGAAAAAGCAAATGTAAAGGTTTCTCTGTTTCTCTTTAAAGGAAGGAGATAATAGTTGTTTTGCACATTCTAACAACATATTTAAAAAGATTGAGAGTTGATTTTTTTTAATTGCAAAATTTATTCTGGATAAAAAATTAATGTGGGATAAGTTAAGACCGCTTTATTTTTTTGTATTAGGAGACAAGAGGAAGGCTCTGGAAATCTGTTTGTAAGCCTTCAGCAGCCTGAGACGCTGGCCCAGTCTGGGCCACAGTTAGAATATTTGATTGGGTGTGGGGTGGGGGAATATCTTCTAACAAGCTTCTCATCTCTACAGTTCTCTATCCCTGCCTCTCCTTTTCTCCCGTAGGTATCCCACTTATTTCTTGAATGATCCCATCTTTCCCTATTGAGTCCCACTTCTCTCCTCTGTGCCCTGGGTCCCTACTTCACGATGGACCACTCACCATCCGCCTTCCTCATCTGCTGAGACCTGGACTGCCCTCTGTGGACTTCCCCAGGGGAAACTACTCACGCTTCCACTTTTCACACCCCGTGATGCTGAGAAGGGGGTTGACATACTCCTGGATGGCTTTCTTATGTTTACAGACATTACACTTTCACTGTAGTGAAAACTGCGATTTATTTTGTTTCATTCTATTTGGCTACAGAACCCACTATTGTTACCGGCCCTTTCCAGCTGAATTCCAATAAAAGTCTTCCTGCCCAGTGTTGCTCAAGCCAACAGGAGACCAAGTCTGGTTAAGAGACAAAGGAACATGCTATCCTTTGCTGGAAAAATGGAGAGGCACGAGTTGCTGCTCTTGAACAGCAGGCCCCAACCTTTTGGGCACCAGGGACTGGTTGCCTGGAAGACCATTTTTTCCACGAACCGGCATGGTAGGGGAAAGTTTGGGGATAATTCCAGCATATTACACTTACTGTGCACTATATGCCTATTACTATTACATCAGTTCCACCCCGGATCATCAGGCATTAGACCCCGGAGGTTGGGGACCCGCTCTTTCGAGTACAAGCACTCGCCAACGGGCCGTCAGCGGATGTGCCTCATCAGGTCCTCACCATGCGTTCTCAGCAGGGAGGGGCCGGGTCCGCCTGCGCAGGCGCAGCTGTGCTGCTGACGCCCCAGCGTGCAGTGCGTGCGTGTCTCTGCACACGGCCCGCTGCCGCCATCTTGAATTGAGCGTCGTGCCCAGCGTCTCTGCCTGCGCCCGCGTCACATTAGGAACTGTAGTCTGAAGTGCCAAGTGTAAGGCCTCTGCACGGAGCACCCTACGAGCAAGGGAAACTGGGCTAAGCACAAAGGAAAAAAAGGTTAGACTTTATTTTCTTACCCAGGTTCTATTTGTACTTCCGGGAATTGTTCATGAGCTTTTCCGGTGACACGGTCTCTTATGTATCGCTGCCCTCTACTAGCCTCCAGTCACTGCTGTGCGTTTATTAAAGGCCTTTGGCACCATATTCATGACCTTTCTCACCATCTCAACTCCTGACGTCACCATCCTGGGAGATTTCATCTGCAAGAATCGTACCGTTCCACACCCTCGTCTCATCATTCAGGAACTCCCGTTTCCAGAGACCATCACCTTACCTCAGCTTCAGTCACAGACTCCTGGACCATCTCCTAGGAGAGGTTCCCGTTTGAGGTCTTCAGTTCCCTTCTGATAGCCTCATGCCTTCACCTCCTAGAGGTGCGCAATGCCCCACACCCCCACATTGCTAACAGAACCTCACGTATCTTACGCCACTGAGAAAATGATCCCTTTGATATGATTTTTCTCAGCTTTCAGTAGCTTACCATTCATTGCCTCTTTCCTCAGCCTCAGAGGAAATGTATCCTTAATGCCACTTTCTCCTTGTATACATTTTTTTGCTAGTCATCACCTCTCATTCCTTCTGTGAAATCTTCTTTAGGATATAAAGTAGTCGTTTTTTTCTATTCTAAAAACCAGACCAAACCAAAAAACCTCACCAAAACATAAATGCCTTTACCCCATGTTCACCTCTAACTGGGTAGCATCTTATCCAGATGTCTCAAAAGAGTTGCCTACATTCACTGCCTCCAGTTTTGCACCTCTCTGATTCTTCAGCCTGCTGTAGCCTGACTTCTTGTCCAGTCGTTCTCCTGAAACAGCTGCCACTGACATCAAAGATAACTTCCTAGTTGTCTGATTCCAGTAGATGTTTTTCAGTTCTCACTTCATTGAACCTCTTTCCTGTATTTGGTATTGTTAATCATTATTTTCCGTCTTGAAACTCTGAATTTCCTTGCATCATTCTTCTGATTTTCATAGTGTCTGGCAATTTTATCTGTTTCTTTGTAGGTTTCTCTTCCTTTCTCTTATTGGAAGTCACCAGAGTTACCCACTGTTTGACACTCTCCCTAAGAGAGTTCTTCTACCTGCATGACTTCTATCAATACCTATAAGTCTCCCTCAACTTCTCTTTCTCCTTTGCCAGCCACGTGGTATCAGTGATTACATCCTGCCAAACTAAGCCAGTCTTCCTCTCTTTCTGTCTCCTGGACTGTTGCAGTGGCCTTCATTCAGGGCTTCCTGCTTCCATTCCTGTTTACTGCCAGTATATTCTCATACCGGTTTGCCTTGTGGCTCAGTGGTAAAGAATCCGCCTGCCAATGCAGGAGATGAGGGTTCGATTACTGGGTCGGAAAGATCCCCTAGAGAAGGAAATGGCAACCCACTCCAATATGCTTGCCTGGGAAATCTCATGGACTGAGGAGCCTGGTGGGCTACAGCCCATGGAGTCGCAAAGAGTCAAACATGTCTTAAGTACTAAACAACAACAACAAATATCCTAATATCATAGTCAATGCGATCTAATGAAATATAAATCTGACCAGGTCAAGCCCATGCTTAAAGCATTTAAATAATTCCCCAGTATCTATAAGAACATATTCAGGCTCTTCCCATATGAGGACATCCACGATCTAACATCCACAGGTGTCTCTGGCCTCACTGATCAGAGCTTTTCTAAGCCCGATCCTTTCTGCTGCAGCAACAGTTAACCACGCAGCGTCCACACCTGACTCCACTCCAGCCGTGCAGGCCCCGGTGCCTCTGCTCCTGCTCTTCCCATACGTGGGATTTCTTGTCATTTTTGGCCTGTCCTTTATTTGGCTGAATCCCACTCATTCTTTATGACTCAGTTCACCAGTCCTTCACAAGCCGCTTGGCTGATATATGAGCCTTTCCTCAGAGCTTCCATATATCATATGTGTATCTCCTCAGATTGCTTTATACTGGCTTCTCTGTCCATCCTTCCACTATAAGTTTCTCATGCTCTCATTCAGCATTTTGTTCCTCTTGACCAGTCAAGTGCCAGATGCCTAGAAGGTGCTTCGAAAGAGCTTTGAATTTGGAATTAAGTACCAGGGTTCAAACCCTTTCTTTTTCATGCATTATCCCTGTTACATTGATAAGTCACCTCCCCTGTCTGAGTTACACTTCCTTACCTACAATTATTCTATTTACCTTTCAAAGAAAAACTAAAGATCAAATAAGATAGCGTAAATGTTCTTTGTAAATTGCAAAGTACTATGAAAATGTTTTACTTTATAAAATTTGAAGAAATACATAGAGGAAAAAAAAGATCGAATACAACATTGTGGATCCTGTACAAATTTTAATGAGACTCGTATTCATTCAAAAATCTACATAAGCATTTTTATGTCAGTGTGGTAGTCTGCAAAGAAAAGTGAGAGAATTATCTATTCGTTTTAAAAATATGGTCAGTGTGCCTGGAGGTGCTAGAATTGGACTTATGAAAATAATCAGCTAATACATTACTGAATAGTTTTGTCAGGAGCACTAATTTAGCTTTAACATTAGCAGGTCATGAATCTTCTGACAGTCATCAGAACTTACACCATTGCATCTTCTTTCCTCTGTGCCTTCAGACTGTGCTTTCTCCCCAACTCTTCCAGCTCTTTACATGCATCTCAATTCTGTGTGAAAACCAGGCCTTGGAGAAGGGGTGATTCAGATGAGATTTCATATACCAACCTGATTTACCTTAAGTGATTACATGTTATTTATCCAGTTCTTTCTTTATTGCTTAGCAAAAGAGAAGGGAAAATAGTTCCACCCTGCAAGAACTCCCAATACAAATAAAATAGAATTAGAAATAAATGACAAAACAATCACTAGGAGTGATCTGTTCTCACGAGTCAAATCCTCTATAGAAAATTGTAGTTAAAAACCTCCTACTTCCAGGTTGTGCAACAAAAATCTTCAAGGAATTAAAAGCTTCAAGGAAGAGGAATGTAAACTTTTCACCTTCATGAGGAATAGGGGGCAGTGCAGGTGCTCCCAGAAAAGGGAAATTTCTATGGGGAACAGGCAGAGCCTCAAACATGGGCTTTGGAGGTAGTGACCTGGCTCTGCCACCTACCACTCAGACAACATTTAGCAGGTTATTTTATCTCTTCTGGTTTCATGTTCCTCGTGTGTCCCATGGTGATCATCACAAGGCATCTCATAGACTGATTGAAGGGGGATGGGAAAGCCAGGGCTTTAGTAAATAAACAGTAGATATTGTTTTAATTAAAGTTAAATTTATTTTAGGGAAAATGAAAATACAAGGTTATAACAAAATATTTAAAAGATATGTTGGGCCCAAATTATGCCATTCTCGAATTCTAGGTTACAAAGTTTAAATTTTGTTAAGACGAGATTTTGAAGGTTTTGAGGCATGTGTTGTGACACAATGACAGATGTGCTTTTTGAAGATCAATCTGGAAGAAGTGTATAGAGGGAGATAAACGGGAAATATCAGAAGGCAGAAGAACCAGTAGGGAGCTATTGGTTTAATCTCATGAGACCATTTAATCCAGTGAGACCTGATGAAGTCCTATCCGGGGTAGTGGTAATGGGGATGGAGAAGGAGGATGTTATTGGGATAGAACTGGCTAGAGAGAGTTGTTAAGGATGGCTCCTGTGTTTCACACCCTTGTGACTGGGAGAATGGTGATGCTTTTTATTTCAGAAACAGGAAGCATAGCTGGGGGAGTAAATTTGGGACGGTGTATAATTTAGTGTAACAGCGTTGGATGTAGGTGTTTTTGATTCTGGTAAGCGAACAGGCATTTGGGTATAACAACTCTAGCTCATAAAATGTGGGTATAATATGATCAACAGGTATATTTCATTGGACTATTGGTTCCTATTTCAAAAGAATCCATATCTGATTTTTTAAGAAATGCAATCAGTAGGAATGTAGGATTCACCAACAGAAACATATACTATAGAAAACCTGTCTGGAATTGTCTCCTTAGGACTTTCCAGCTCATTACTGTGCTGGCCAGGTTAATCACATTTGTTTGCTGCTAAAAAGATGTTTGAATCCAGGCAGTATCCCATGCAAATTCATCTGTCTCCTTTTCCTAGAGTGTCTGTGTTCTACTCCCCACCCAAAACTGGCTGAAAACATGAGCAAATCTGATCCTTGTACAACCTTGTTAAACAGTCTGTTCCTTCGTTCTCCTTATCAAAGAACTCAGCCTGGTTATAGAGGCCTAGGCTCCCCAGGGAAGCCATGCTGAGACCTAGTGTCACATCCACCTTATCTGTGTGGTACTGTTCTGTCTGTCTTTAACTCTTTATCTGTTGTCCTTATGCTGAGGTGAGGCTTAATGGTCTGCAATCCCCAGGTTCCCAGAGGTGCTTCTGGGAAAGATTGGGCCCATATTAACAACTATCCAGTTTTTGGCAACAGTGTCTTTTGTAACCCCATTTCTCTGTTGACCATTTCACACTTCATATCCATCGAAACCCCAGAGTCTCACTGTCATTGCTGGTCATATCCAGCTCCCAAGGAGAAAATAGGAATATTATTTCTTCAGAGAAGCTTAGTGTATTAATTTATTTTAAAACGTGTATTTGGATTTATTGTTGGCAAAGCATTGCACTAGAAAATGCTGGAGGGCTCCTCAACATGAAGGAAATGTATTTCTGGCCTTCAAATGAGGTTGGGATCCAGATTGACATGTACACAAATGAGAAAAGTGAGGCTGGGTAGAGACAGACAGGAGGAGGAGGAGGAGGCTGAAAAGCTAAGCATGAGTTAAATCTGCATCTAATCAGCTACAAGACTTAAATTTTATATTGAAGATAGGGTATTTATAGAGAAAGGCTGGTGGCAGAGTCCAAGAAGGGTCCAGGGACAGGTGAAGGGCCCATTTCAGTGCCATTTCTGAGACCTATTGGACATGGAAATGAAAATGTTAGTCACTCAGAGGTGTCCGACTCTTTATGATCCCATGGACTGTAGCCCACCAGGCTACTCTGTCCATGGGATTCTCCAGGCAAGAATACTGGAGTGGGTTGCCATTCCCTTCTCCAGGGATCTTCCCGACCCAGGGATCAAACCCAGGTCTTGTGATTTGCAGGCAGATAGATTCTTTATTGTCGGAGCCAGCAGGGTGAGACCTATTAAAGAGTTAGGCTAGGAGAGTGTTCCAGAGTTCTGATCCAAGGGGACATTTTGTTTAAGTGGAAACAGGGAAAACACATTTTAAAAGTAGCTGAAATACCATCTTTAATGATATATAAGGGAGATTAAGAGTGCACTGCTTTTATTTATTTATTTTTCTGCTATAAATCTAGAGCTCAAATAAGGTTTCTGCTGATTAATTTTTGTACTGTTTTCAGACTGAGGATATCATTAGTGCAACCTCAAATGGAAGACAAATTTTATGTAATAGTCCTTATGTGCAGGATGTGTGTGTGTGTTTCACACATGTACTTTACATTTTCTCTTTTGACCCTCATATGAACCTTGTAAACAGGGCAGGTCTTAGCTCAAAAAACTGTGACATTTGTTCCAGTTTTTCCCTAAACAGAAAGTAATTATCAGGAAGTTAAGGACCAATTTGTGTCTCCAAGGCCAGAAAAGGGCTGAACTAAAAAGTGTGAGACACAGATGCTACAAAACCTCAAAAGCGTCCCCCAGTTCTGTGCTCTTATTATAAAACAGAATAGCAACCAATGTTGAAGCAGGTCAGCTAGGATTATACCAAAGGAACACCTCTGATGCTAAAGACATTTCTAGAATACTGAGGTTCTGAGTGGAGGTTTCAGCATGATCAGAAATTCAGAAATTGATGAGTTCTTGAAGAAGAATGGAGATTCAAGTCCACAGGTCCAGGGTTAGTCAGGGACTAAGCCAGAGGTACAGTCTTCGGAATCATATCTATGAAGTCACTGACGTGTGCTCTTCCTTCAAAGGATGTCTTCAGCCTCAACTGCTTTTTGTCTTTAGATTTCTGTGACCTGTCTCATTGTCCTGATCCTGAAGACAGGCATTTAGAAACCTTATGGGAGTTTCAAGCAGTTAAAACATCTCTAGTCCTTTAAGGAGAGACGTATCTTTATCAATGTCCATGCCTTCTGTTAAGCCAGGATTGGATCCTTTAGCAGCATTTGTGTTTCAGTAGTGGAGACAGTATCCACAGCAATCCTGATATACTGTATTCCAAAGGTGACAGTGAGGGTTATGGAGACACACCCTCTTGGGAAGAGTTCTCCTTCTCCAGGAAGGGTAAAAAAATGTGGCCTCCAATTAATTAAGTTTAAGGATTCTAATTTAACTTAAGACACTGGTTCTTAAACCACGAAATGAGACAAAGCTTGGCAACAGTGCATTAAACCTGTGCTAATCATGGAGCATTAACAAAGTTGGCTATTATTTTGGCCTAAGACCCAGGAAGGCACAAATTTTGTCTTAGCTCAGCCTCTTCTTTTCTTTATGTGTTTACAAAGATACATGTTTATAAAGAACAAAGGCAAACTCACATTTTATTGTTAGCTGAGACTGAGACCCAGTGCAGCACAGAGAGCTTTGGCAAGTTAGGCTGGAGCACTTTGACTCAAGCCATGTAGAACTCCAGAGCTTCTGCCAAGGGTCAGTTCAACATGCTTAACACAAGACAAAAATAAGCAAAGGGAAAGAGACTCATCTAGGTGCCAAGCTAAACTGCCTGGGCAGTAGCCTGAGGACTCTTGCTATTAAATTTATTAGTTTGTTTATTTTGTGTTTGAAGGCTTTTGTGTCTTGAAAAAAAAAAGCTAGGATTATACCAAAGGAACACCTCTGATGCTAAAGACATTTCTAGAATACTGAGGTTCTGAGTGGAGGTTTCAGCATGATCAGAAATTCAGAAATTGATGAGTTCTTGAAGAAGAATGGAGATTCAAGTCCACAGGTCCAGGGTTAGTCAGGGACTAAGCCAGAGGTACAGTCTTCGGAATCATATCTATGAAGTCACTGACGTGTGCTCTTCCTTCAAAGGATGTCTTCAGCCTCAACTGCTTTTTGTCTTTAGATTTCTGTGACCTGTCTCATTGTCCTGATCCTGAAGACAGGCATTTAGAAACCTTATGGGAGTTTCAAGCAGTTAAAACATCTCTAGTCCTCTAAGGAGAGACGTATCTTTATCAATGTCCATGCCTTCTGTTAAGCCAGGATTGGATCCTTTAGCAGCATTTGTGTTTCAGTAGTGGAGACAGTATCCACAGCAATCCTGATATACTGTATTCCAAAGGTGACAGTGAGGGTTATGGAGACACACCCTCTTGGGAAGAGTTCTCCTTCTCCAGGAAGGGTAAAAAAATGTGGCCTCCAATTAATTAAGTTTAAGGATTCTAATTTAACTTAAGACACTGGTTCTTAAACCACGAAATGAGACAAAGCTTGGCAACAGTGCATTAAACCTGTGCTAATCATGGAGCATTAACAAAGTTGGCTATTATTTTGGCCTAAGACCCAGGAAAGCACAAATTTTGTCTTAGCTCAGCCTCTTCTTTTCTTTATGTGTTTACAAAGATACATGTTTATAAAGAACAAAGGCAAACTCACATTTTATTGTTAGCTGAGACTGAGACCCAGTGCAGCACAGAGAGCTTTGGCAAGTTAGGCTGGAGCACTTTGACTCAAGCCATGTAGAACTCCAGAGCTTCTGCCAA